CGCCGCCAGTTAGCGACCTCATCATGTGTGTGTGTGTGTGTGTGTGTGTGTGAGGAGTTATTTGAGCAACCTACCGTTGAAATTGGAACGGTACAGATCAGCAGGGGCCCTGGTAATCTTCTGTGCATCGTTCCGATTTTGACGGATGTGGTGTCCCGGAGACTTTGTCGGACCCAACTATTCGGAAGAGTACAGAGTTAAACTTGAACATTTGGAATATGATTATTATTATGAACTTTTTAAGGTTTTTGAAGCGCATGCCATGTGTATTCCCCTTTAGCTCCAAGCATGTATCCTCCAGCCACCAGCCAGGTGATTGTTGGATTAATTGCCTCATTGAATTGCATTNNCCCTTTGTTCCTCTGAAGAAAAGGTTTGGAAAGAAAGAAATCCACAAAGGAAGCAGAACCCCGCACTTCATTATCTTGCCCACCAGGTTTATTGCTGTCTCTTATACACATCTAGATGTGTATAAGAGACAGGTGTGTGTGTGTGTGTGTGTGTGTGTGTGTGTGTGTGTGTGCATTGTTGCAGTAACAGAGAGCCCTAGAATCAGTCAAATACTAAACTAGGAATCGGAGCCCAATTTTTAAATTAATTAATTGGTTAGTTGATGAATAGATAGCAAGGTGATCGTGGTACCCACCGAGGTAGCCCAAGTCTCGTGCGGAACTGAAGGAAGTGATGAAAACAGAATGCCTTATCCGAACGGCTCCTGCTTTATTTTCAAAAGGGCGACGGCCTTGATTTTATTTTGGTCTTCTGTTTGTATCTGGATTCGAACTTGGGTCTGGATTCGCCACAGCCTAGCTCAGTAGGTACACCCTCGAGCTATTTTGGTCATCTGTTTGTATCTGGATTCGAACTTGGGTCTGTATTTCAATTTCAACTGTTCGGCAAGCGGAGTATCAATTCCAATTGTATCCGAGGGAGGCAGAGTATGTTGATGGGCAAGTAAGGTTTTGTGACTCTCGAGGACATCAGTCAGTGGATCTGGTGGACCAGGCAGGATGAGTTGGTGGACCGAGGTCCTGCGGTGTGCTTGACTTATCTTCCACTTGTAGTTGATGGACCAACGTTACCAACGTTACACGCTTGTGTGGACCAGGAGCAGTTGATGAACTGAGGTCCTTCGGACTGGTGGATTATGATCAATTGTAGTTGATGGACCATGGATAGCCACTCTGGTGGAGGAGCGTCCTCTGATGGACCAAGGTAAGACAAGACCAGGGTATGTCGTTGGACCAAGGTAGGTAGGTCTGGTGGACAAGCATCAGTTGACAGACCGTGGTCAGTTGGTCTGGTGGACCAGGGTCGGTCAGTGGACCAGGTGTCAGTCGATGGACCAGGGGTCAGTCGGCGGACCAGGGGTCAGTCGGTGAACCAGAGGTCAATCGATGGACCAGAGTCCATGAGTGGACCAGGGTCCCTGATGAGCCGAGGTAAGTCAGCTTGATGGACCAAGGTGAGTAGGTTTGGTGTACCAGGGTCAGTTGATGGACCAGGGGTCAGTTGATGGGGCATAACATTTTGGTTGCAGTCCAGTCAGCGGAACACGGTCAGTCCAATGGACCAGGGTCATTTGGTGGACCAGGGGTCAGTCGATGGGGCATAACACTTTGGTTGTGGTCCAGTCAGTGGACAAGGTCAATCGTGGTCCCGTTCAGTGGTCGAAGGGCAGCTGGTCAGGTGTACCGTTTTTAGCTTATGGCATCTACAGGTAGTTCGGGTAGTGAACCAGGGTCAGCATTTTTTGGAGTGAGAGCCATTGGACTGAGACAACTTGAGAGTATTTAGTATAGGGTTAATAACGTAATAATGATTAGTGCTAATACTGGTAAGCAAGACAGAGAACTTGAAAGAAGTGATGGATCTCGTGTTTGTAGTATTTGTCAAATGGGGAAACTCTTCGGACCTTGTTTCGTCAAACAGGGTTTGTTTGATGTGTGAACTCGGGCTGGCTTATCAATTAATGGTTCTTGCAGCGGGGCTATCAAGGCTCATGCGCTGCGAGCCTCAGGCTGCAAGTGCTGCCGTTCTCTTATAACAAAGTATAGTGGCATGCAGCTATCATAGATCTGGTAGGGGCACACTTGCAGAAGGGGGGTTGTTCGACGTGTGAACACGGGCGGGCTTGTCAATTAATGGTTTTGCAACGCGCCCTGCAGCGAGCCGATCAAGGCTCATGCACTGCGCGCCTCAGGCTGCTCGAGTGCTGCCAAGTATATAGTGGCATGCAGCTATCATAGGTCTGGTAGGGGCACACTTGCAGAAGGTAAATGGGACCGAGTAGCAGTCAGCACTAACATGGAAAAACTTCTGAAAAAGCGGACACCGCGCAGAAATTCCGCACGTTTGGCGCATGAGCGGACGCGCACGGTGCGGCGCACGGCATGCCCTTTTTGAGGCTATTTCTCATGCCCAATTGGACGGAAAGAAAAATCGACTGTACGTGAAAATTAGGTGTTGCACTCTTCTGTATCTACAAAAGAAGCAAAAAAAAAAAGAAGGCAAACTGCCGCTGGTATGGTGCACGAGCAGGTGCTGCGCCGCACCGGACGGTACGGCGCATGGTGCGGTTGCAAGTATGGAACGAAGGGAAGCAGGGGAAAAAAGTGATGGCCAATGCCACCCCCTGAACACAATGCAGCCTCATCATGACTGTACCGGACCGGAAAGACGACTTGTATACATTCATAATCAGGGCGCGTTATGGTTGGGGGAAGACCGTAGCAGTGCAAGAGAAGCAGGCAGGGAGGGAGGGTTGGGCTTACATGAATCGGATGGATGTTTTTTTTTTTTTTTTAGGTAAGTAAACATTAGGGTGGGTGTCTATCTGGAATGAATTCAATTAATGGAAGGCATGGAACCGAGTTCAACGAACTTGGGAGTACGCAGTGATTTTTTTTTTTTTTTTTAAAATTTTAAAGAACAAGAAGCTTTATATTTCAACAGGAAAAGGAGCCTCGGGAATTCCTCGACAAACAAACCGGAAAAGTACTGGGACCATTACCCAGCTCCGGTGCAGGCGATGGTTAGAAATGGCCAACACTACGCTGCTGCCGCGACTGTCCCGCCCCTGGTAAAAGAAAACGTGCCTCAGGCCAATAACCCGAACAAGCCATTTTGAAAAAAATAAAAAAATAAAAAATAAAAATGCGAACGAGCCAGAAAGAAAAGCAAAATAATGCCTCAGGCCAGCAAGTGGCAGCAACCCAAACAATTCAAGAAAAAGAAATGGATTTTTTTTAATATTATTTTTTTTTATTTAAGGTCCTGGGTGTAGTAGAGGGTGGTGGCCAGGCCTCAGGAGGTGCTCGTAGTACTCGTCCATTGGGAGGGCAGAGGGGATTGAGAGGACCCAGGGGGAGTCACCTCAGGATGGCACCACTGGACCATGACCTATGCTAATGCTCAGATCGGAAGTCGTGATCTGCGCCAACGCTTAACGGGCTAACCCGAATGTCTTCATGCAGACACTACCCTAACTCTAATGTTAAGGACGACCTGGGCACAGGTGGGGTCCATGCATATGAAGTCAACTGCGCTTCCACTAAGATGCAATATCCCGCCCTCCCCTATCCTAAGCATGATGCCTTCCTACCCCAGGCTCCCCAAGAATCCACAGTCCCGATTAATTCCCCCAATGAGAATTCCCACGGACCCCAAACTGGATGAAGCACCACCCACAGGCATTGTGAGATACCTGTGGGATGAGAAGTACCCAGTACCTACCCCATAGTAACACCCAGTGTGTGCGTAGGATTATACCCCCCGAGATGGGCCCTACCGTAGTCTAAGTTTGCTGTTTGCGGACTCTCGTACGGGTGCACCGTAGTCTAAGTTTGCTGTTTGCGGACTCTCGTACGGGTGCCATGGTGATGGGAAATATGCTAGCTGTACCCAGGCTTGACCATGGCAGCCCCATGCACTAGTACATACTGGCGAGACTGACAGATCGGCGGGTCCAAGTGGCCATGCAGAGGTATCGACGGTTTCGACAGTTTGGCAGCTTTTGTGGTTATCGACAGTCTAGGCAGTTTTTCGGTTATCAACAGTCTAGGCAGTAAACCCTCCCCCTTCAATCCACCCTAACCGATCCCTCCGCCGTCACCCCCCAACCCCCCCACCCGCCCCCTCCCCCCCGACCCCCGGCCCATGATGGAGCCAAGATAAGATTCTGATCCTCAGACCCCCTATGACCAAGCACTCAAGCAGCCCTCCTATGGCCCTATCCAGCATACTACAACCATGGAGCTAGACCCCTTGCGCAGTGCGCAGGCAGTGTCTGTATAAATCTTAGCATGCATCGTCCCAAGGGGGGGGTGTGAATGGCTTGTGCGTTATGAACGCGCGGAGTTTTGAACCCGCAACCTCATACCACAATGCGCATTTCCAACCGGTGCTCTGACCACTGAGCCAACGGCCATTCACAGGGAATGGATTTTTAAGGCATGTGGAATTAATTTTACGGCGTAGAAGTTGGTGGAACACAATTCAACGAACTCGGGAGGTGAAGTAACAGAGAGAAGATGCTTCTACCAGGGTCAGGTGCGAACTGGTCCCGTCGCCTGCAGCGAAACTGGGTAATGGTCCCAGCATGTTTCCTTTTCTGGGTTGTTTGTGGTGGGATACCCGGCCTCCCCCTTTTGCGGCAATAAAATGAGCAGTCTTTTTTGGCTAAAAAAGAGAAGAAGAAGGTGCTTCTGTAAAACAAAGTCAATTAGTGCGCAAGGACGGAACACAGTCAAAGATGGAGAGAGGAGAGAACCGATGGTGCAAGAAACAAGTTTTTTTATGGTACACAACTTCTGCTCTCGTGGCAAACAAACAGAGAAACAGTCTCTCGTTGCTGTGGATTGTCCTAATATAATGATGATGACGGGTGCTTGAAGATCAACATAAGAACGGTCGAGGAGTTTCCTGCCCCCATCTCTAACTCAGTGTGGTAATTTATTCTCTGGCTTTCTGTACTGTACCATTGTGCATGTGGTTTTCAGATCTTCTGTCTTCCAAGACAATTTTCACACCGCTGGGACAGGACTATTTGAACAGGGCCGTTCTGCTGGCAACGCTGCCAATATTCATGAAGTTTTGGAATCATCCGTCTTCAGTGCCAGAGGTTAGTAAAAAGATAGCCGTGCTCGTGCTGCTCCTACCATACCCACTCACCCTCGAATCTGTATCTAGCATTTGTGCCTTTCTGAGAGATGTCTCTATAGGCGTTGCGCCCCCTGCTGAGCATGGTCCAAAAAGAGACACTGCCAAACCGTAGAATGTTTTTTTATCAAATCTCGGCAGAGTAGTCACGCCGACGGTCGGCACCCCTGGATTGGTCGGGGCCAACCAGCCGACCGTTTACCTACGAGGATGGACTTGTTACATTCGCGCTCGCCAATGTCGACAACCTATACATGTAACTCGTCTCAAACAATGGTTTCGACGTATGCTTCGCTGGTCCGTGCATCATCCTCTTCCACCTTCTCCTTCCCTTTCCTTCGCTTCTCCTTCTCCCTCTCCCACTCCTCCCCCTTCCTCCTTTCCATCTTCTCATCCTCCTCCGCCTCCCCCTCCCCCTTCTTGTCCACCTTCCCCTCCTCTGTCTTCCCCCTCTTCCTCTCCACTTCCCCCTTCTTCTCCCCCTCCCCCTCCCCCTCCTCCTTCTCCT